TGATTGCTTTAGCAAATATAAGTTTGATTCATCGACAATCCCAACACAGAATGTAATATGGAAACTGCCTGATATTCCTTGAAATGCATATATGCTCTGTGACCCAAGGGCGCTCGTGGCAATGTGGCATAGCGATTCACATGTCGGGCTTACACGATGCATTATCATGGTTCGGCTCCCGCTTGGGGTGTTGATAAGACCTATGCGAGGTCGAAACTGCAGTCCAACCTGAGTGAGAACATCTTTTGTGAAAGCAAAGCTATGTAAAATTCAGTGGAGAACATCAACTCTACTCATATCATTGTGGGAAAATTCAACTGCCAGTCCTTAATAACTTTAAACGAAGTAGAGGGAACACAACCCAATAATTGTTTTCTTTCATACGTTCTATTCCAAATAGCCACCGTAAGCATTGCATCGCTTCATGTGGGCCTAGATGCCCCGAGAATTGCTTAATCTAAAATTATATCTAACTTGGCTGAAATTGTTCCAGCCTAAGAGAATTTAACTCTCCAGAACAATGTGATCGATTCACGAATCTTATTTGCAATATTTTCACAATATTATTAATACAATAGAATGGCAACATTACAGGCTTCCTCAACATCCAGTTTTTACTTAAATATTTTAAGCAGCAATTCAGTTTAAGACTTATCTCTCAGCAACAAGCTAATAGTGCCATTTAAGGTCTCTTTCTAATATTTTTAATCATTACTATAGAGTAGAAGTTGATAAAATTCGATAAAAAATACGTAAGTAAAATATGCTATTCTCCGTGTGATTTTACTTATTGTCCTGCCTAGGCGGACCTGAGGATCGTATTTCATAGAATCTAACTTAGGCTAAGTAAATTCAATGGAACCATGAGATCGACTCATCTCTTCATGGACAAACTCAACTAAATCCCCTTAAGCGAACTAAGCATTCAATATTGTGGCAAGACGGTGTGCCAAGGACTTGGCACAATTCAACAGTCTTCCCTATGCGGCAATCCTTCGGTTTCCAGTGAGACCACATAACGAATTCCTTCCAAATAACTTTTCCTTTGAAATAGAGAGTCCTCTTACAATATTTCATTATTTAATTATTCGAAACCCAGTTTTTCTTCATAAGAATTCAATCGCTTCATTTTGAATTACAAATTCACTTTCTGTTAATGCCTTTGCCATTCACTATAATAAAGATCTCTTCACCTAATCGGATGTTTGAAGAAACCCCTAACTTCATCTCGAATCAATCAAAACCCAGCGGATCCTCCTACACTTCCCATACAGGGCCACTCAATCTGCTGCACTGCTGTCTTATCTCTCCTGCGAATCATGATTCATCATCAAATGCTAACCTAGCCAGTTCAGCTTCCTTGCTGCAAGACACTAGCTGCTTTGATTCCATTGCTTGCCCAGAAGCGCCCACAGCCCTGCCTGGCGACTCCTTAAACTCTCTTCATTCGAGATTTCTTGCTCCTGAAAACTTTATTGAGAGAAAAGGAAACGTAGATTTACCGAAATCACCTATCTTTTTTCCGTGTTCTCCTGGAAAAGCATCAAAAGTTGAATCGGCACTAGATGCGGTTGGGCTGGGTACTCTAGAGGAAGAGGAAATTGTCTGCCTTATGGCGGGACCCTCCTCTCCATCTATTTCCCTCTCCTCCAGATCGTTGGCGACATCTGTCCCAAAATCGAATATTATTGGGCCTGACGAAGTGCTGTCTGTTGATCAGGAATTCGATACAACTGCATTATCACACTTTCCAGAGCTCCCTACACGAGCAAAACGCAAGAAGTCAAATTTTCATGGTAAAATTCTTTAAATGGATGCCTTTCCCTCTGGCCCGTTTTGTTTACTTTCCTTAATTCTGACCTTGAGCCAGGAGTAGTTTCTGCTTAATTTTTCATAGTCCTTCTCTTTAAGCTTCAATTTTTTGGGAGGATTTATAAGCATTTATAATTTTAACTAAGGAATCTACAGAGGTCCTCAAATCAAGACCCAAGGGTTGTCAGCAACAGTTTTTATGTGGTAGAGAAATAGGGATATGGAAATTAATCTAATTTCCTCATTGACCTCCACAGACTATCCAATTAAAGCAATTATCTATACCCTAGAAATTTTCTTAAGGGCTTTATTATGAATTCTCAAGTTTTCAAGTTAATGGAGAACAGTGGTATTCACATATAAATTTCGATTTAACTTATATTTTTGCTATTAACTT